TATAAAATTAAATTTATATTATATAAATGAAGAACTTTTAAGAATTTAATCAACGAGTCGATGACATGCCGTGTCTGTACTTTTTAAAAAAATAGCGTGGCGATGTATTTGACACATATCTTGTCGGATGCATGTGTCCGTGTCGGTGCATCATATCATTTCAGTGTTATTAATTCTAATTATAAGTTAATTAGAATTTCACATTTAAGAATGCATTTTGTTATTCACATTCATGTATGCCGATTAACATCAAGTTTTACTTAATTGAAAATTAAATAAATGATTTAATATTCATTGTCACATATATATTCCCGGATATTAATTCTAAATTAATTAACATTCATACATTTTCAAATAGTACTTTTATAGCAGAACTTATAAAGCATTTCATAATAACATGAAACGCACGTTCAACGTTAACTAGTATTAAAGAGAGGGGCAATATTGGTTGAAGGGTTGGTAAGAGGTGGTGGTGGGTTGTGGGGTGGCGGCAGCTGATTGGTGATGGTTTGGGCGAGGTTTGTGGGGGGAGGTTTTATATCTTTCTTTTTCTAATTTTTTTTGTCAATTGTATTGAATTGTGGTTTATTTGTAGTTTTTGAAATGATTTAGGGTTCCTGCTTCAATTTTGTAGTTTTTTTTTTTTTTGTCTATGTTTATTTAAAGAGGGTAAATTCATCATTTTACGTGGATTTAATGGCTGAAATGCACGGAAGGACGGGTTTTGCTACCTTTCTGGAAGGTTGAGGATGTCTTGTGCTAAAAAAAGGTTGATGATAGATTATGCAAAGGTTGGGGATGAAAAGTGCAATTCCTTTCCTTTTTCTAGTATTAGTATTTTGCTTCAAGGTTCAGAATTTTTGGCAGTTTTCTACTCTCAGAACCTCCATTGGCGTCTTTAGTTCAGCTTCTGAGAGGTTAAGTCCAGGCACTTCTGTTGCATTTTACAGTGTAAAAATTATCGGACGAATGAATATTGTTGTAATTTTAAGTGAAAGGAACTAGATTTTCTTCTCTTAGTGTCATGCGGAAGAACGTTCCCTCGTCCAACTCGGGGAAGTGCACGCTCTTATCTATTATGTATCGTCTCTGCTAGTTTATCTGAGGAGAACACTATCTGCTTTCAATGGTTTCTTTAGCATAATTACATTGTTTTTCTTTCTCCTCTCTGTGGATTATATTTTTCTTTGACACGTGTGTTTTTTTATTTATTAGTCATTGTCAACCAGTATTGAAGGAGGAGCCAAATGGTTGGTTAACAAGTTAAAAGGTTTGTTGTTTCTTTCTATTTGCTCTGCATTTTCACTTTCATTATTCTGCTGGTTGATGGGAATAATATCTTTACCACTCAAACGCAAGCTCCACTTTATTGCTGCAGACTATATCACAAGTTGAGGTTTGCAATGCAGCAGCTATACCAACTGAAAAAACAATCTGTTAACTTTTCTTACTACTTGATGTAAATTTTTCTTCTACTTAATGTATCAGGTGTTTAAAGCATACTGATGCTCCACCATTAAAGATGTCGATAAGAATATTGATTTGCTGCATGAAGTTAATATTTAAATTTTCTGTAGCCACTCTAAGCTCCCTTCAATATCCAATAGGAATCTGAACACATTTTGACAAAAATAATGGAGGGATTTTTAAGAGGGCCACCATAAAAGTCAGGTAACAGACTAATGGAGGGCGCAATTTGATTCTATTTAGAGTTTCTGTTAAATGAATAATTAATGTAATGGACTTTGGTTTTGTTGGATGTAGTCTTTGTGTAATATTAGCTAATGATGGTTCTCTGGGTTACCACATACTACTTTGTAAGTTTACTTTTGGTGGTTTGAGTTTACCACATTTGTCGTCTGTATAAAACTTGTCTGTTCAGGAAAAATGCAAAAGCCGTTGCTGGAACTGCTGAAGGAATATGACATGGCAATAGGCATTTTCCCTCGTGATGCCACCAACTATGAGTTCAATGAAGAGACGGGAAAGTTGACTGTCTACATACCATCAGTCTGTGAAGTGGGTTATAGAGATTCTTCTGTCCTGCGTTTCTCAACTGTTGTAACTGGATATCTAGAGAAGGGCAAGTTGGCTGATATAGAGGGAATAAAAACAAAAGTGATGGTTTGGGTAAAAGTGACTGCTATTACATGTGAAAAATCAAAGCTCCATTTCACTGCTGGTATGAAGAAAACTCGAAGCAGAGATGCTTATGAGGTTCTTAGAGATGGCGTAGGTGTAGATAAGTTCTAAGATGGTTGAGTTGCTGTCAATTATTTGGTTTTCATAATACATTTTAGAGGTATTTGGACCTTTTCTTTAGCTTGCTATCTTGATGTTTGGTTATTGTAACGTTTGGAATCATGACATGTTTAATAATATTTATTTCATGAATCGTGTTCAAAGTTAAAACACCTTTTTCCTGTGATGACATCTTCATGACCAATATATTGGTTTCGTAGCAATGATATCCCATGAACGTTTTGCCCGTTAAAAAGATTAGAACAAGGAAATGAACGAACATGGGTAGAATTTTAGGAACTAGGGAAAATAAAAAAAAACATTGCACCAGCCGGGAATCGAACTCGGGTAACGAACATGGGTAGAATTTTAGGAACTAGGGAAAATTAAAAACATTGCACCAGCCGGGAATCGAACCCGGGTCTGTACCGTGGCAGGGTACTATTCTACCACTAGACCACTGGTGCTAGTTGTTTTGGCTAATGAATCATACATTATTGATTCCAAAATAGAGAAGCCAACTTGTTCATTCACATCTTGTTTGAGCCACCCCTTTAAAAATTCATTTTTTACTACAAATTCTCCAATAAAATAATGTTATACATAAATTGAAATTTTTTTCTTAACCCCTGTTTGAACCCATTATTTTCAAAATTCATTTTTTAACACTCATTTTCAACTACACATTCTCCAACTTTTTACTATTTCAAAATGCATTTTCTTGGTAAAATGGAGCCCAAACAGGGACTTAATTTTTAACCACACATTCTCTAAAAATCACTATTCAAACATGCACTCTCTCTTTCAAAATGGGGTTTAAACGAGGGCTAAATTTGAAATAAATTTGTACATATTAAAATCTATTTATCAGCCTTACTAATATTCTCTCAATATGCAAATTGAACCACCGTCCTTAAAAAGGAAAAAATCACAAAATCATTGGGTCGGACGTACATAGACATAAAGAGTACAACTACATGTCTTTTGAGAATCATCTTTTAATTTCCAAGGTATTCAAGTTTGGTCAATAGTCAATATTCTGATCAACCAATAAAATTCGAATGAATGACCTACTTTTTCAATTTAAGTAAAATCGAGATTTTTCCCATGATTTATCGGTATTGAGTCAAGACTAAAAAAAATAATAATAAAATAAAATATGTGAGATTTTACTCTAGCAACTTATTGAAATACTTTTTCGCAACTTTAACTCAATCAGTTGAGAATCAAAAGAAATGCCATTTTGTTAAAAGTATATAAATATTCTTGCTTAATCTGCAAGACTCCATTGAAGGGTAATTCGCCCCCATATAATTTTCAAACTTGGCATCTTTACAATGCAGAATTATATTCAAGCAAGCAATCTCAATTTTGTGGTATGTACCATGTTCAAACAAAAACTAACGAGTCCCACAGTGTGAACACATTACAAAATGCCAAGATTCCTTTTGATTTTGATGTCTTCTGGATATTTCCTCGGTACCACAATATTTTGGATCAGACCACGAGCCTGCCACACGCCCAGTCCCTGTGGACCCATTATCACCCTCCACGTGTCTGATTTTCAACGGCCCAAAATCACTTGCCCACTGCTATATAATTCTTCTGCACCAAGTCCCTCAAATCATATCTTGAATTCATCTTCTTTAATCCATTCTTACATTGTATTCTAAGATTTGTTTTAGTTTTCCTTTTCATAATGTTTCTTGAGGCAATTTCAGCTGTTTCGGGTTCGGGTTTAGGAACCCTTTCGAATTCGAATACCATTTTGAGCCCATCATCTTCTAATTTGAATTCTTCATCTGTATTGAATCTTGTTTTGCCAAAAAAGCGTGAAAATGGGTTCGCAGTTTATGCTGAAAAGGCTAGTGTGCCACTCACAGGTGTGGTTTTTCAGCCATTTGAAGAGGTTAAGAAAGATGATCTTATGGTCCCAATAGCTCCTCAGCTTTCACTTGCCCGCCAGAGGTTTTCCGAAGAGTGTGAGGCTGCAATTAATGAGCAAATCAAGTGAGCTTTCAACCCCTTTTCTTCACTTCATGTTTTTATAAGGATATAATTGTTTTGGATCTTCAAGTAAATATAGCGATGAATTGAACAAATGGAAAAAGGGGATTCATGTAATCGATCTCAAATTTATTAACAATAATGCTTTATTTGTTGTTGTTGCTTTTTAATAATTTAATCTTTTAGATAAACTGATTCAATATAGCATCAAAGCATGCAAATAATATAGGCTCAAATCTCTCTGCAGGGCCGACCCTGATTCAAGGCAAACTAGGCCATTGCCTTGGGTCTCAATTGAGCTATAGCAATTGTACCTATTAAAGGCCTCAAAAAATTAAAAGTCCAAAAATTCAACAAAAAATTTCTTTCTTTTTTTAGTTTGATCATTTATTCAATTTAAAAGACATGACTAAATAACATGATGGACTAATAAGAGGTCCAAAACACGTGGACACTTACATCCTTAATAAGTTTAATTTATATTTTTTCAAAAAAATATATCTCATAATTTTTTAGTAAGCTTATAATTTTTTAAAAAAAAATTAAAAAATTATTCTTTATGAAAATTAAAAATAAGTTATTTATTTTAAATAGTAAGCTTATAATTTTTTTTAAAAAAATAATTTTTATGAAAGTTAAAAATAAGTTATTTATTTTAAAAGGGCTCATTTAATTTTTCAAAAATAATATAAAAAAATCAATTTGAATAGAACGTGAATGATACTAAAGAGACCAATACGCTTATAGAAAATTATATTTAAGATATTCATAATAATTTGTCACCTAGGGCCTCGAATATCTTAGGGCCGGCCTTGTCTCTCTGCACTCATTTATAAAAATTGTACACACACCACATTTTTTTATGAAAAAAGTGGATCTGATCTACTATTGGAATTTGGCTTTGAAGTATCAGAATTTTTTTTTTTTTCTTGGATTTCATGTCTGAAAATTCTTGTAATTTCAAACAATTCCCCTCATTCATTTCTCTACACTTATACACACTTCGATAAATGCTTCATGTTCTTATAATATTTTGCGCGCGCGCACACACATATCTAACACAAGGTTTCTTCTATTGCTTCTACTGACATATTGATATTCTCTTCTCGTTTCAGTGTGGAGTATAATGTGTCGTATGTGTATCACTCAATCTACGCATACTTTGACAGGGACAATGTCGCTCTTAAGGGCCTTGCCAAGTAACTAAAACAGTCTCTAATGCTTTATTGAATTTCAGTTACTCTCTGTTTGCCCCCCTTTTCCCTTACTAAATCGAATGTGCTATGGTGTATGGTCAGATTCTTTAAGGAGTCCAGTGAAGAAGAAAGAGAACACGCCGAGAAACTAATGCAATACCAGGTAATCGGTCGAGCAATAAACACAATACAGTTAAAAAGAAACACTCTGTAAAAAAAGTGAAGTTATTCTCTATTGATTTGAATGCATGTAAATATGATTTTGTATTCGTCTTGATGAATAACAGAACATACGAGGAGGAAGGGTGAAATTACATACCATAATAATGCCCCCTGCAGAGTTTGATCATATTGAGAAGGGCGATGCACTATATGGTAAGTACAGTTTTTTTGCCTGCAAGAACATGTTTGGTACATGCTCGAGAGAGCAGGATTAGACACGATTAAGGAACAGATACACGTGAATAAATTTGCCGTGTCCATTCTAATGTACTACACATGCGACCACATTTCAGTTGTACGCGTCTATTTATATAATATTTTTACTTTCGCTCACTGAATTGTATTTTCTTGATTCAGCAATGGAACTTGCTTTGTCCTTGGAGAAGTTAACTAACGAGAAACTTCTGAACCTACACAGTGTAAGCCTCTCTGATGTCTTTTGACATGTTTGGTACATCGTACTGGTTCGAACAACTAACAAATGATTAAGTAACGTGCATTGTTAATCACTTGTTCTCGATGAAACAGGTGGCTGATCGAAACAATGATCCCCAGATGGCAGATTTTATAGAGAGTGAATTTTTGGAAGAGCAGGTATACTGCAGTGTGTGTGTGCGCGCGTGCTTGATATACAAATTAATCACATCAATTTTAACATGATGACGAAATTTACCTTAGAACTCGAATTAAGTCAACAAATAAAAAATTTCGACTTTCCAGGTTGAAGCTATTAAGAAAATTGCAGAATACATCACTCAATTAAGGATGGTTGGGAAAGGACACGGTAAGTTATATATTCCAAAACATCGTCTTCATGAGAGTATATTCTTATTCTACATTTTGATCCTTTTCTCGGATTACTGAAAAATATTTGTTTGTATATGAGCAGGAGTATGGCACTTCGACCAGAAGCTCCTCCACAATGGCAACGGTGCAGTATGAAGATGCCTCGTATTGTTTGTTCTTGATTAAAGTCGAGCTTCTGTTTCCATGTATCAGTTCTGAGTCGTAACAAGTTGTTAGTTTGATTTTTAATTTTCTAAAAAACTTTGTAGATTGGATCTAAATCTGAAGCTTTGTAATATGTCTGTAAAATAGAAAATATTGTACTAGAATAATGTTTGATCAATCTATGTTTAAAGATAATGCTCTATTTACCAATCTTAATCTGTATTTCATAAATACAAGACACTGACAGTGCCTAATCCAAGTGATTTCATGAATAAAACTTGACCAATTAACCATCTAGTATGGAGCAACTGTTTTGTGTGCCCTTATTTCTTCGTGTCATAAATACATCAGCAATAGCAGTCGGTATTAATCTGCTATTGTCATTACTACAAAACAAAGACGAAACCTATAATTGAAGCTGAAAGAGAGGCAAAAGGATGTGCATCAACATGTGCCTAACCAATCCAGTAGCATGTTCGGTGTTCAGTATTCGATATTATGATTAACAATATTTACCCTCTTTTCCGTGGTTAATATTGTATAAAACTATCTAATCCTCGTACTGAACGTGCCACTGGTGTTCAAATTTCTCAGAAACAAAACCTCCGGCACAAAACTTTCTTTCTGTGTTTTTTGTCTTGGGCATCAATGGGGAATGAAGAGTGGATCATCTCCCACATAACCTGTATGTCTGTATATCCTGCACAAGCCTCCATGTCCTTGTAAAGAGTTACCATCCCTTGCCCTTTTCCTGTAAAGAAATGGAAATGATTTTGAGGCTAAACATCTTTTTATTACAACCAAAACAAAGTACCAATCCTTAATTCTTGAATAGGCGCATCTAGCAATTATATTAACCTTCTAAACATCCTTAAATGGAAGACTAATGTACAAAAATCCAAGCCCAACTCCAAAATTCCATTCTTTGATTATTTATGTTCCAAATAGTATCCGAATACTTGTTTTACTTCTCGTTCTATTAGCAACTTCCGGGGGGGCATATTCCCACAAGGAACTCCCCCGGTAAGTTGCCTCCAAGAATGAGCCTCTCTCTCCTTGGCCGCTGAGGAGACATAAGCATACACCAATGAAACACAAACACAGAATATAAATGGATTTCATCATCGTATAATACGATGGAAATCATTCAAGTTCATCTTACCTTTGGCTTTATGTCTGAAAATTGAAGTAACATTAACAAGCATATCCTTTCTTGTTGGACAAAGAAACAAGTCCCTGAAACTAAAGCACTGCCAAAATCTTCTACTCTCCATTTCCATACAAATCTTTATTTCATCATAGTCTATATATATTTCCTCGTTCATTAAAACCCAACTTTATTAGTTAAAGTTTGTGGCACTAAAAAACAAAAACATCAGACATAGTAGATAGAAACGAGCATCAAGACAAAAAGGCTTCAAAATTCAATAATCGTAAATGCATCCATACATAATTATGAAAGCTCTAGTGGGAGAGTACTATTTGATTCAGATTTTTTTGCTCGTGATTAAGTTAATATAAAAAGATTAAGCAATATACTACCACCCCTTGTGACCACGTTGACCTTACCTCAAAAGGTCAAACTATGGTCGAGGGGAAAATAAATAGTATAGTTAAGTTTTATGTGATCCAACATGTTATACCCTTTTTCTTGAATTTGAACTACATCTCTGTAATTTTAATTGGGAAGGGTCTAATTGGATAGTACAATTTGATTCAGGATTTCCTTATGAATAAGCTAATATCAAGAAGATTAAGGCGATTTAGCTCCCTATTTGATGGGGGGATTAAAATAAGATTTTTAGTAGATTTTGATAAAATTTAATGAAATGTGTGGTTGAAAAGTTGTGGATTTCATAAATTGTGTGGTTAAAATTAATTGTTGACTTTGACTTAAACTAAAATTTTAATTTCTAGAAATGGGGGCTTAGATTAATTTGATTAAAAGGGAGTGGAATTTGGAGAAAGAAGAACTTATTGGGATGAAATAGACATTTTAAGTAGAAGCAATTGGTTTGGAATTTTGCTTTTCCTACTTATTTGTCTAACCAAAGATTCTCTAGTTTATTTCTCAAGGAAGGTGCATAAAGGGCCCCACGGTCAAACGGTTGGTTGGTTTTTCCTCCAATGTCTTTGTGTTTGTGTGGAGTACACTTGTCCTCTCCCACACACACAAGATTAGGCCATCAATAATGTAACGAGTTTGAATAGAAAATTTGAGTTGTGCTAGTGGGATTGAAGAGTCCGCTGTCATGTGCTATACACGTCATACTTGTTCGAATTACTATCCACGTCGTTTGCACGTACAAAAATAGAAGTGGATTGTCACTCATCAATCAACCTATCGAATAGGTTTGGCTAATCATTACATAATGGTATCAAACCATACTTAGTTCGTTGTCAGTAACGACGTTGATCCTCAATGAGAGTGGATTTTAGAATCTTATATTGCTCGGAGAAAGAAAGTTTGTGTACTATACATATAAGACTTATGCAAATCAGTGATCAATACTTATTTTTCATGTCGAAACAAAATAAAGACGAGTTTTTATGGGTTCACAACTTTAAAATTTGTGGTTGAGCTCTCTAGTTTCGCTGATTTTAGACAATTTCATGGGGGGTGGGGTGCGGGTCCATTAATTATACAAATGATAATAGTAATAATGATACATTACACATGGTAAAAGTAGCAAGTAGAAACTAACCATGTGCTCTCTAACAAAATCTGTCGATTTAGTCAACCAACTGATTAGTTGACATCTCACCGACCCGAACTTGTTCTCTTTTTTTCTTTTTCTTTTT